ATTTTTTAATCAATTCAAACTATTCAATAAAAATTGTATATCAATTTTTTTTTCAATTATTATTTATATATTATAAAAAATATATTAAAAAAAATTAAACGAGTTATATTCTTAAACTAAGAGAGTAAATCCTAACAAATGCTCTTCATCTAAACACCATTCAGATTTCAAAACCTACACCCATTCCATCCGCAGGCTTATTAGTGCATGTTAAGCTAGGATATCCAACGTACATTATATGAACTGTTTTTCTAATTTGTACCATAGAAAGTTAATTGTGTAATAAATATATTTTTTATAATTAATTTGTATAAAAATTTTAAATATTAATTTAATTTAATTAATTGATAAATTAAAATTATCCACATGATAATAATATTAAAATAAAGATCAATTTTTGTATTTTTTAACATAAATTAAGCGCAATAAGTATGTATATATGTACACATCAAGAAATCATGCACAAAATTGAAGAATCAAGTCCAGAAACGTATTACCAAATCATTAATTAACAAAAACCCAAGTTTCCTAAATCAATCCCTCAACAAAAGCAGGAGAGGACGGTGAGGAAGAAGCCAAAAAACAGAAAACTGAGACAGCCACATGATCCTCTGCTGCTGAACTGATGCAGCATCAATAATGATGGATGAGTTCAAATGTGATGATATGTAAGTCCAAAAGAAAATCAAAAAGAAATACGATGGGGCATTATGGATTTTGATAAAACGACATCAAATTGGGTGAAAGGAGCAGTAGCTTATTCCTGTAGCCATAGTGATGTGCATTTCTTATTATTATTATTTTTTTTAATTTTGGTTGTACAATAAGAGACAACCATCTCTTTTTTTTATCTCATTTCATTCGCATGTCATGTGATTCGAATTCAAAATCTTTTACTTCCAGCGAAATAAGATGACTATTGAACTACTTATGTCGTTGGTATGTATTTCTTATTATTTATAATACATAAACAAATACTAGATACAAATTAATTCTCGTATTTTATTGAGTGAAAATAGTTTATAAAAATTATTATCAATGTATGTTATCAATAAATTTTTTTTAAATGCAATTAATTGAAATTTTATAAGGCACTCATCATGTATGGCAAAAAGAAAAAGAAAAAGAAAAAGAAATAATCATGTGATTAAAGATAAAAAAAAAAATTAAATGAAATTAAACACAAGGTGCTCAAGTCCAGAAGGCATTCGATGCGAAGTCCTCTTGGGCCTACTTTAATGATGTAATGGGCAAGGTAATGGTAGCCTACAAACCACGCGCAGGGCTCTAATCTCTACGTGGGCCTATATGTTTCGCTTCAATAATGATTGGATTTTGAGAGCAGTTTCAGTATTTCACGAGGACGGAGAGGGCAAAAGGAAAACATTGATTACCCAAATCCTGTGCAATTTGGGTTGGAGTAAGCCCATTAAGTTTCTTAGTATATTTTCGTTTTCTTTTCGGGTTACATCTTACACGAGGTAATCCTGTGAATAGTGATTCCCTTTCTTTACTAGAAAATAGATAAATAAGGATATCAATTTTAGATTTTTTTTATTTAGAAATATTCATTTTATCATGTTTTAAATAATAATGTTAATTTTTAATTTTTTTATTTAAAAACATCATTTTTTATTTAAAAATATCAATTTTTAATTTTTTTCAATTTAA